CTTTTACCCACGACTCAGTGACAATCATAATAATCAGGGGGTCAGGCTGCAATCGTTCCCGGGCCACATTTGATTCACAGGATGTTTGTGGCATTTCTCGGGCCCATCTACCCCCCTTGCTCTTGTGTTGTGGTCCAACCAATGTATGAACCTCGTCTCCTGAGCCCACGTATCAAAAGGTGAAGTGCTCTTCCGTTCTTCAAGGAATTCAAGCGTGTACCAGTGTAGCCCAGAGAGGGCATAATGTCCTCAAGCTCCCGCTTCTTGCGGCGGCTGCCTCCCTCGCCGTTTTACCCTGTTTTGAAATCGATATCGATCTATGAGGGCCAGAGCAAAGGTGTTGAGGACCGATCGTGACTGAAACAAGCTGTCTCTTTTGCTTACCTCTTGGCCATACATCTGCTTGACCCACATCACTTGTCCGTCGTGGCTTCAAAGCGTTGAAATTGGATGAAGTACTCCTTGGCGCTAGATTTCTCGTGGTTGCACTTGAGCAAGAATGGGAATGGCGGTCACTCGTGGTCTCAGGTCCTGTACGAATTAGCTGTATCAGAACTACTGAAGAGATCTAGGGACCACATTGCGATCAGCACATGGCTTAAGAGATGCCTGTATCCCATTCGCTGGAGTTTGGAGTGGCACACAATGAATATGAACTCGTGTCCAAGTAACCCACTTCCATATCTGGAGACTTGATAGTTGCTTTATCAAAAAACCTTAGAGGCAAGAGTTTCATTTCATCTACATCTTATAAAGGCAACTTTCCATTGGTACAATGACGTCTATAAATTCTGGACAACCTTTGGATCTTTCAGTCTCAGCGACACCTCTCTAAAAGAGATTATCGATTATCTCGTCAAAATAAAGCCTACTACTAATTCAGGAATCAGAAAAACCTCTAGAGTATTGCAGAGTAACAACGTCCGTTCGGTGTACAGTGAGGATGGGTATCTCGAGCTTGGAATTCTTCTTCTATGTTTACGGATTTAGGGCGCCGGTTGAGCCCGTCCGATTGTTGTAACCTACAAAAAGACATTGAATTTTCCTTTTAATAGCCAGAATGGGCAAAAACGCACTTTGAATCCTATTTTGCGCAGCTCGTCAGCGTCAACAAGGAGTCGACCATCGAAGACGAAGGCGGGCTTGTTCATATTCTCATAGACAACCTTCCAGTCAATTTCAGTAAACTCCTTCCACTCGGTCGCGATAACCACAGCCTCAGCGTCTTTGCATGCCTCCAGTGCGGAATTGCAGATCGTCACTTGTTTCTTGACTACAGATACAGCGCCGTCAATAATCAGAAAGATGGAAATGTACAGTGATGGAAGACGTACTGGTGTCTAGGGGAATCAAGGGGCTTGCTTCCTGGAGATCAGCCCAAATCTGGGAATGCTCGACTTTGGGATCGTAGATGTTGATAAGGGCACGCTCAGTCTGGAAGTCCCTGATGAGCGTGATCGCAGCAGACTCTCTCGTGTCACCAGTATCCGCCTTGAATGCGAAGCCTAAAACCGCGATACGCTAGGTCACCACCAATTCCCAATCAGTGAGAACACTCTATAGTCATTCAACAAGACAGTCACACCTTGCCAGTAATCGTCTTGAACAATGTATCCACAACACGCTTCGAGAACCGGCGTTTCTGGTACTCATTCATCTCTACAACCTGACGCCAGTATGCCGCGACCTCAGGAAGATGGCAACTCTCGGCTAGGTATACGAGGTTGAGAATATCCTTCTGGAAGCACGAACCACCGAAGCCGACGGAGGCTTTGAGGAATTTGGGACCGACGCGGGAATCGTATCCGATCGCGTGAGCAACCTCATCGATGTTGGCACCGGTGGCTTCACAGATCGCGGAGAGGGCGTTGATGGATGAGATGCGCTGGGCGAGCATGGCATTCGCCGCGAGCTTGGAGAGTTCGGAAGACCAGAGGCCAACAGTTAGGATGCGGTCGGTCCTACGTCACGAATGGAATTGTTAGTATGCCGGATTCGTGATTTATCGATGAAAAACGACTAACGAGACCCAGTTGGCATAGACCGAGACTAATGCATCGCTCGCGTCCCTGCCTTCAGGAGTCTGAAGGGAACCGATGAGGACACGGTCAGGGTTGAAGAGATCGCTTATCGCGGTGCCCTCGGCCAAAAACTCAGGATTGGAGAGGATATCGAAGCGGCAGTTAGGCTTGGAGTTCGCCTCGAGGATCGTGCGCATCGACTCGGCGGTACGGCATGGGACGGTGGATTTTTCGACGACGATCTTGGAGGATGTGGCAACAGTCGCGATGCGCCTTGTGGCAAGCTCGACGTAGCTAGAGATTCAATGAATTAGGGACAAAAGAGGAGGAAAGTAAGATGAAGAGGCTTACTTGAGGTCTGCAGCACTACCTGCACCAACGCCAGACTTCTTCGTTGGCGTGTTGACACTGACGAAGATGAGATCAGCCTCCTCGATGCCTTTATCCACATCGGTGGAGAAGAACAGGTTCTTCCCCCGTGCTTGGCGCACAACGTCCTCAAGACCAGGCTCGTAGATGGGCAGGTTGAAGTCGGGCGAGTTCCAGGCGGCGATACGTGCCGCATTGAGATCGACGATAGTGACCTGGATATGGGGGCATTTCAAGGCGATGACAGCGCAGGTCGGGCCACCTGAGTGTGTTGTTCAAAGATCAGATAAAGCGCGTGTTACAGCCAGTGAAACAACGTGCCAACGTATCCAGCACCAACTAAAAGTGCGTGCCAATCAGCATTATTGATGAATATCAATCTAATAAGAGATACTCACTACAACAGATTTTAGTAACCTGGACGGGGGCCATTCTAGCGAGGGTGTAGAATGAAGGAGGGGAGTGAGTAAAGTGAAAAGAGGAAGGACGTGGACTAGACACAATTTGTGCAAGTTGAAATGATTATAATATATACTTGGCGGCCATCTTCGCCGTTCAGTGATGTCGGCACTTAGCTCGGTTGTTTGCGTCGAACAATTTTTCTTTCCTTTCTTGACGCTAATATGAACCAATATTCATCTTCTACCTACATTTAGTCTAGCTTTGAATAGTGTGCTCGTTTTCAACTACTGCCGCATAATTCTTTACGTGTAGATCTAGGATGACGCCGGCATCGGCAAGCATTGATTTCTTTCGAAGCCTATTTGAATAGGCATTGCTCTTACAATCTCCCAGTCCTACGACGCGAGAAGCCGACCCCGAGTTCATTTCAAGACCTTTGAACCCCCTTCAAGTCTACGATATGTATATCCTAACAAAAACCGAAATCTATGTCCCTTTGCGACTTTCCTCAAGATCTGTGTCATGATGGACATACACAGTCAGGGATGGATGTCCTGAACGATTGTCAAGTCGGTGCCTTTTCGGGCGCGAAGCGTCGCGAATTCCTCGAGATTTAAAGCTCGGAAGACAGCCCTGTAAATTAAAGTTCCTGGCTGGTCACGAACCCTTCTCCAACCTCTACCTATATTTACTACGTACTTACTTATCGGACTTGTGCTTTTAGCTTCACGCCACATCCATTTTGTATTGCTAAGCACTCCTCCGTGGTCAGTACCGAGACTCATTCCATCA